TACATAAAATGTGATTTTTTCCATAAAAAATTTGCAAAAAAATGTAATACTTCTATAAAAAATTTAAAAATGTAAAAAAAAAATTTTTTCTATAAAAGAACAAAATGCGACACATCGCCCTCACCGTAAATATGGCTATTATATTCTAAAGAAAGCAAAAACCGGGTCTATGTAAAGGGCAAAATATTATGTCCGGCACTTCCCTGTTCATAATTGCAAAACGTAATCAGAAGCCTTTTGCCCTTTCTAGTCGTCAACCAATCTAGCAGCATAGTGTATATTGAACAACACAAATCAATACTAATTTTCATAGCAGACACACAAAATGCGCATGATGATACTACACTGCCCTGAGTAAAAAATTGAAGACAAACGGTGAAAGTAGCTGCTGACTGATGAAAATGTACTGTGCCTTGACAATCCATGTAAAAAAAAAAAATAACAGGCATAAAATCATAGGGCCAAAAGAGGACGTATTTCAAACCAATCAAGCAAAAAACCAACACCTAAAGGGAAATGACAAAATTCATCATGTAATGCCTGACATCCTAAAAACCGTTACACCAGGAAAATCGAGGCGAGTAAAAAATTAAGGACAAACAGATCCCTCGCTTGTCAAAAATTTTTTGACTATTAAAAATACTAAAGCTAGAAAAAAAGACATTTCCCTACCTATCAAAGGAATCACTTCTATATTTCGGTCAATCTCCCCTGCAACAGGCAACAAAAACGCATACTGCAACGACCGCCCGTGTCTGTGTTATGCATTTTTGCCGTGGAGCGCTAGATCTTCCTCTTTTCCGCTGTCCTCCAGCGTACCGGTTGGTGTGTAGCTGAGTGAAGAAGTTGTTCTAATAAACAAAATAAGTCAGGTTAAATTAGATGAGAAATACATTACACATATATATTCAATAAAAACGGTTCGTATGATCATCGAATGTTGGCCCGAGATTAGTCTGTGATAACAGCTGTGCCGGTGGCCGTCTGAAATACTTCTTTTTTTTTTCTCGAAAACCATAAAAATGATAATGCAACAATACATTTTTGTCACCGAAAAATATCGACATCCCAAGCGCCTTAGGGCGCAACGGAATAACATACTTTCCCCTTTTTACGTAGAATAATACTTTTTATAAAATCGCAAATCATTATCGGGTGTGATTTCAAAACCGCCAAATTTGTAGTGTCCTTGGAGTCAGATACATCAAATATTGCTAAATTTATCCCTCTCTTTCATGAAATAAATAAACCAAAACTGCCCATTTTCCGTAGCAACCTCAAGAAAATGCATCCCACAACTTCTTCCCCTGACTCTTTTAACTCGCCTGGCACAAGTCACCACTGTTACAGGTGTTAAGTCCTCACGTGGTCTTTGACTGCAGCAGGGGAAGACAGCGAAGAGTGCCAGCACTTTATTCTCCAATAAAAGCTTCGCTTCAAATAAAAAGAAGAGCCGGGGCGCCATACAAGCTACTGAGCAGAAGGGGGACGCTAGTTGTGTTGAGGCAGCCAGTTAGTAGCGTTACTTGGGGCAGGACGTGGCAGACCAGTGACGCGTGTTGATCCCGAGACTAAGAACCTGGTTTTTTGGAAGGGGTTTATATAGGGAAAATTAGTGGAGGGAAAAGGAAGGTATGGTAGTTAGTAAGTGAGAAGGCAGGTAATACAGAATCATTTAGAATTTGATGGAACTGTTAGAAATTAGTGAGTGGAGCGAAGTAGGTCGAAGTGTTAAGGATTAGTGAGGAGAGGGAAATAGGTAGAATTATAAGGTTACACAGGTAACAACCCTTAACTATCTACCGAACTATCCAGATTATATCGTACTGCTGGCATTAAAACCTTCATAAGCGAAAACAAATGCTGAGTCCTCCGGGCATGCTTTTTGCTGGAGGCAACGGCATAATCTGGACAGTACACATCTTTCAAAATTATACCATACCTTAACTGAAGAGAAAAACAGCCTTACCCGTACGGTACTGGATTATTTCTCGCAGGATCGTTGGAGTTCGGCGGCACTCCTGATGAATTCTGTCCCACATATCCAGACGTAACTGTTGGTGGCGGAATTCTCGAATCGAAAAACGGCAACTGCTGCTGTTGAGCACAGGGATGTTGCAAAGCGGATGCCACTGGATACCTTTGCTGTCCAATGAGAGGTAACGGCGGCGCAAAAGCCCCGGGCATTGCCGGTGGCATTCCATATGGCGGTAGACCTATGAGGAAGAGTTCAAGGCAAATAATCCAAGGCAGTATTTTAGATCGTTGTAATAGTCTATTATTAACTCTAAACTCTGTAGTATTCAGCGAAGAAAAAAACGCTACTGTTGCAGCTTTAATCAGTACAATCAAGAATTCTCCACAGCGGAGAAAAGTAGCCCATGGAGCTATGAGTTTTAGAAATTTTTAAGATGCAAACTATGAATATTACTGGCTCGGGGATTGAAAGAAGTGAGGGCCTGGAGTCTTCTATTTGTTAACATTCACAGTTTGTTTGGCACTATCGGCCCATCAATGAGAGGGACACAGTCGGGTACTGACAGATGTGGGAAAGCAGGAAGTGTCAATTTAGATACCCAGATAAGCAAGCCTCTTATATGCAAGAGCTGTTGTCCGGTCTGTGTTTCATCCCTAAACTGTAAACATAGACGGCAAAGCCGGTGTGGAATGGGGTGGGAATCATCAGTATCATCAGCAGCATGTTCGAATGAAAAGCATAAATCAATTCTTAAAAAATTTTGAGTGAATTCTCCTTGCCATGAGCAAATGAATGCATTAGAGGACAGTGGACTATATCTATTCATCGGTCCAGCTGCGCAGATAATTCTGTACCCCTTCATTTATTTAACCTTCACCTAATTACCAGGTATTTACTACCCATGAGCATCCCGCTGCAGAAACTGTAACCTAAGACGAGAATATCTAACCAAAAACGTGGCTAGCCCACAAAAGATTTTTTTTCTGAACAATTTAATACAGCTGGCTAGCACACTGACCACTGGTAAGAATATGCGCTTTTTGTACAGTCACCCAAAGGCTTTTTATCGCTGACGGCACCGTTTTTTTTTTTTTTGGCGAATGCTTCTAGCTAAAAGAATTGAAACTAGCCAATAAGGCTGTCAGAAAACATCCCTTAAAGTCTCATCTTTCTAGATTTTCACTTCCCTGAATTTGCACTTATCCACCAAAAATTTTCACCAGCCCAGACGTGGGAGCCACGCATACTTGGGAAAGAGGGGTGGGGGAAAGGGGTGAATACGAACCCACTAAGTCCTACATGCACGAGAAACATCCGCTTACAATTCCAGTTTTTGTTTTCTAACTTTCCAGATCCCGAATTAGCAACTCATCCGCCAAAAACTTTCACAATTCCGTATGTGGTATCACGCACACTTGCGTGGTTCCCATGTCCGAACTCATTAAGTTCTACGTGGACGGGAAACACCCGCATAAAATTCCAGTTTTCTAGCTTTCCAGGTTCCCGACTTAGCAACTTACACGCAAAAAACTTTCACGGGCCCATACTTGGGAACAACGTGGGCAAGAGTGTCCATCTTAGGAATAGGGACCCGTACATCGTGCAGATTAAGTTCCCAAAGTTTCAGCCTTGTAATTTTTGTAGGTTTCGAAATGAAACCCAGGCTGGAACGCACCAGGCGGGCCGGTGCGATTATGCGTTTTTGCACTTCTCGTG